GAACGTGTGAACAAGTTTACTTTGACAATTTATTAGTAGCCAGCTGGCCAATCACATCAAATGCTCAGATTACTTTGACAAGTTTTCTTTGTTGACCCATACAGACGAACAAAATTTGTACAATTTTTTCTATGACAAGTGCATGCTAGCTTTTGAACAAGTGCACTTGTCATAGAAAAAAATGTCGAAGTTGCGCGTACAGACGAGCAAATAAAACTTGTCACATAAAAACTTGTCATAGAAAACTTGCTCGTCTGTAACCGGCTTCAATCGTTTTGTTGATTGTAAAGTTTATAAATAAAATAAACTCTCATCCTTGTTTGACCAGAGCATCTCACAAATAAAAGTGTAAACATATTGTATTGGAGACATTTTCAAATAGCGTACCTACTGACATAGCAGATACTTGTTTTGCAATACATTTCATAGCTAAACAGTTATAGATAAAAGCTAGGACGGCCATTACAAACGATATCCAGTTGATAAGCTGAAAGTGAAATAAAAAAGAATCATTACCGGCTCGAAAGACCATGTTATAAAAGCAATTCTGAAAAGCATTTAGCGCCGCAATTATTTACGACGCAAAGGTTACTATATTCAAAGTCGAAATTTGATTAACAAACGTACCATGATGGCGAACGTGAAACCCTGAGTCGTATGTTCTGGCATCTCAAGCTCTAAGTACGCCATAAAGTCGTTGACTAAAGCTGCAGACAGAAACAGTCCTGTTACCAATGACACCGCCAAGTAAACCTCCTTCTTTTTAAAGTGAATGTCACCACACTTGAACTGAAAAAGTGGAAAAAACTATTGTTAAAAAATATTAAGTAAACATTGGGACAGCGTAATACATCTAAAGCCGCCATTACATTATCAAAGTTTCTGTGATAACAGTAGGAATTTTGCATCGGTAAAGTTTTCAAAGATTTGTAAGAAATGTTTGAGGGAGTCAGTGTTAAACATGCAATGAGTAAATTCCTAGAAAAAGTTGTTATAGGAACAGTGTTTCCTATCAATGTTGCCCGCGAAGGCGGACAAACCAGGGAACATTCGTGCGAAACAAAATACGTTTCTGATAATTCTGAATATGTTGCGAAACGTTTTTGCTTCCTGAAGTGGACCTGCTAATGTTCGGTTTCCGGAACATTTTTCCCATGGTTGGACAAAAAACAAACAAGAGAAGTTTTTGAGGAATTATAGAAATTTTCAAATACTTCCGCATAATCTTTTCTAGTTTGTCTAGGGATCCTATTATATGCTTGAAAGTAAGCCTTTCTTAGATATTTTGGAGCAGCACGACAAATCTGTATGCGAATGCGAAAAATTCTGTAGCTATGCGTCTAGTACATTTATACTTACCATGGATCACTTTGTTGTTATCTTGCAATATATATTTAACGTATTCCCACTAAACTGCTAAAATTCCTTTGACAATATTTCGCTCGCGTTTCCTGTTTGAGTTTTAGTTAACGATTGTTCGATTGCGCGCGCACGTACTATGACGTCACTAATTAGACCGTACGATTTATTTAATGAATCAATTAGTAAAATTTTAACGCTTGCTCTTACCTCCAAGCCTTGGCCAAACATCGGAGCCACTGTTTTGGAGCAGCTGTGCAAACTAGGAGACATTTGCCAGAAAAATTTGCCTGTAAAACTACTTTCATATTCTGACACTATGTCAGAATAATATGAAACTAGTTTTTCATATCTCTGAGGATGGTTTTGAAATTTGCCTGTAAAGTAAATCGTTTCTGACGAAAAGTGTTAAAACTTTTTCTTCAGCTTTGATCGACGTTGAGAGGAAGATGTATTTGTTGTGGATTAATAAATTGACTGGCTTGATTTTATAAGAGGTTCAATTTACCATAAAAAATGGTGGAAGATTATATTCAAACCATAGAACCATTATCATTGTACGTTTATCATTTATTAGCAATAAAAAATCGCGTGCGTTATATATTTACAAACTTATTTACTTCTATGACTAAAGTTCCTTCGCAAATCGCACTGAAAGTTTCATTTGCAAACCACTATATACAAAAATATCTAGATTACAATAACTAGCAATTTCGGATAAATTTCTTTAATCCACGTCCTTTTTGCACAGCAAATTTATAATTGTTAAATTTATCAATATTATTGGCCCTGAGAAAAAATGATCTGCTGTTCTTCCAGCTGAATGCTCCATCGACAGGGCTTTTCACACCACGCCAAACAGATATTTTCTTGGGATAACCAGGGTCTATCTCCTTTCTCTCCTCATTGTATCGCCAATATTTGTCTCTACGGAAGAAATAAACTCTTGAGTTGCCATCCCAAACCATGGCTGCATCAATTCTGTCCAAGCCAGTGGCCTTGCTGTTTTTGATGAAATTACTGAGTCGTGCTGATCCTTTGATCTTTCTGAAATTCTTGTCGTAAATCCAGTATCTGCAAAACGAAAGATTTGGTTCACTAAATACACTTGTGCAAAATGTTGTGGTGAGAAAAAGAAGTTGACAAAACTCCTGTGTTGCCTCGTTCGTGGCTCATAGTCAATAGAACACAGTCTCTCTCCTACCTGTTATTTTTAAAGAACACCATAGAACCATCGTTTCTGCTGTATCCTGCATCAATGTAGCCAGGGAGTCCGCGAAACTTGGACGAAATCCGTTCATGATTGCTGGCCTGTTTCGCATTATTCATTCTCCACATATAATATCCCCGGAATATGTAGGTGGTGCAGGTTGCCTTGTGGTAGATCACGTCATTTAAGTTACCGTAGTTACAGAGTGACGAAACTTTAGGCTTCTTTTCATTAGTAGCTGGGCACGTGGTATCTCCAGATCGAACACCTAGTCAAGAATGATTCAAAATAAGTATTCGTTATACTTGATCTTCCACCAAATATTAGACACAATAATTTTCTTTGCATATTCGAAACTTGCGCGGTTCCACCCAATGACGAAGCTAGCCGTGGTTACTGGTCATGCTATGTTAATAAATTTCTAAAGGTTTGAATATAAATGCAAATCATTAAAAAATTTCAGAGTATAACCTGTTGCCATGGCCAGATTCGCTACTGTTCAACCATCAGCTAATGCACCCTATTACTTGCACCTTTATTTAAGAAACATTTAAACACTGTACCATAAATACTCTGTATTCCAGAAATATCGTCTTGTCTTAGCTTCAAACCAGCTTGATATCCTTCAAACCAAGGCCACATGATCGCATCTCTCTTCTGCGAATGTTCCAAGCCAATAGCATGACCAATCTCATGTAAACTGGTCCACAGAAGATCTGTGGTGCCTTGTCGACCATTTAATGACCATGTCTCATCGTCATCAAAGTGAATGTCACCAGCCAAACCTTGAAATTGGTACGTAAAATGTTCATATATTGTTACAAAGTCCCCTGTGACTACAAAAACCTTTGTTGCCTTCAAGTTTGTGGCTAATACCTTGTACCTTTCAAATCTGTAACTGGGTTTCCATTCCTGCAATATGCAGTTGTGAGTTGTCTGATTATAATTTCACGTCGGTCACATGTGAGAAGAGTGCTTCCAGTTTGACTCTACCGAACTTTGCAGGTTTTCTCTGGGTACTCTGCTTTCCTAATGATACTGGCGCCGGTCGTTCAAAGATGCATTAGCGCTAACCCTGGATTAAAATTTTGGTGTGTGTATTTTTTCTCCATGTCCGTTTATTTCAAAACGTCAAAAATAAAACTTCGGTTGATTCAGATACGATTTCGGGAAAAAATATTTCTATGTTTAAAAACAAGCTGTTGGGAAGATTGCTTTGAAGATGGGTTAACCCAGGATTAAGCTAAACTAGCGTTCGAACAACCTGCCCCCGGACCACTAAAGGTGGAGTTACACGAGCAACAAAATTGCTGCGACTTGTAACAAAATCTGATTTCAACGCATGTTAATTGAAAATGTTTACACATAAATTACAAATCACAAGGCAACATGTGTCGACATTTCTACTTAACATGCGTTGAAATCAGATTTTGTTGCAAATTGCAGCAATTTTGTTACCCGTGTAACTCCAGCTTAGAAGATGATCCTTACCCGGATACGGTGAACACTTAAAAACTGATACAGCTATACCAGCCTTTGTTAAGACTAGTTTGCACTGTCAAAGGTTTTGTGATCAGAGAAACTTTTGACAGTGTAAACCAGGCTTTGTTACAAACTATTTTCGAAGGGAAAAGCTAGCAAGTTACCTGTATTAGATCCTGGGTAATAACCATGCGCCAGAGTACCACCTCGACCATCAAACCTGTATGGGTCATTATGGTCACCACGACCAAACAATACTATAATGTCAGCCTGACGGTTGTTACTTAGTTTCTTGAAATTCAATTGAGAAACCGACTGCCACATTTTAAAGGCTTTATCCAACGTTCTAACGACATCTGCTCGGGATAACGAGACGTAATGAGATGGATAACTGTGTAGACTCCAAGTTAGACTCTTCAAGAAACGAAAATAAATGCTTTTAATTTGTGTTCAGGACTACATAATTATCGCTTTGTCAATTTTTCCTGGACCTAAAAAACTCAAAATATAGTAGGTTTGTCTTTATTGGATAGCCGTCTATCATTTCTAAACTGTTCTCCCCAAAGTATTACTACAGTACAGGAGGAAACCTAAACTAAATTAACCGGCTTTATTTAATACTGGATAGCTCCGCTATCAGTTCTAGACTGTTCTCCCTATAGGTCCAGAAAGGATCATCTCTTATTGATCCAGTGTTACTACAGAAGGAAACCTGACGTAAACTAACTTTATTTAATACTGGATAGCTCTATCAGTTCTAAACTGTTTTCACTACACGAGGAAACCTAAACTGAACTAACTCTATTTACATTGCATAACTGTATCATATGAAAACTGTTCTCCCTAGAATTCGATTTATAGGGTCATCCCTTCAGAGCGGTCCATTGTCACCGCAGGAAGAAACTGGAGTGTCGACAGAAAAGCTGCGGTGTTTGGTAGTCAGCAAACAGGACGCATTGTCGCATTTGACAGAGGATGATAAAAACTTCCTTTCCAAGAACTTTTACCTGTTTTTGCCATTTTGTTCCTTGTTGTACATAACGTTTCTTTCTGCGCATATCTCTGAAGGATGCCACAGGGATGCCTCGAACGGCGAGGCCAGCGACCTTGGGTGTAATTGGTCGAAAATCTTGAGCACCACATCGAGGTCCTGTCAGCTTGCTTTTCGTCGCGCGATCCATCTTGCCTGTAACTGGAAGTTGTGCGTATCGTTGGAACTTTCGTATCGCGGCGTCAGCCGTGTGGGCGTGTGAGACGAGGTCGGTCATTGTCTTGATGTAGCCATATCTCATTAGGTAGTTGTAAGGCTGGAGAAAAGGATATATGTTAAGCCTAGTTTACACTATCAAAGTTTCTGTGATCACAGCAGGAACTTTGTACGGCATGGGTAAATTCTAAGTTTTGAATTAGGATTTGTTTGAGGGAACTGAATCAGTGTTAAACAGTTGGGTACAAGATGGACACAGGGGTAAATCGATCAGTAGCACTCATGCTCGGTCTAATATGCCTGTATATCCACACTTACATCTTTTTTCTTTTTTTTCTGAGCGCTTTGACCAATCCTAAATTTCCACACGAGCAGAAGGACAAGATATGCAGCATATACCTGCGGAAGAAATAAGTTCATCTCATCTAAATTGGTTTGGCAGTGGGGGGCACTGGGGGGAACCGCGGGAAGATGATGTTTTTGTAATAGCAGGATCGTTTTATTAAACCGGCTAATCAAAGCTGTTCTGCTACGCTCCACGCATATCATTTTCCCTCATTATACGTTTTATACGACTTAAATTTTACGTTTTGAAAGAAATCTGGGCGTTGTGCTTCTTCTTCTTCCATGCTGGTATAGACCATGTAAAATAGCTGCCCTGTTTACCTTACGTGCATTGTTTTCACAAGGGTTGCATGTTTGAACCCGTCTCGAGCTTTTGGACATTCAAAAATTATATATTTATTTAGCTTCGCCTATAAGTACACAATCAAACAACACGTACACACAACCATTTCTGTCCAACCCAAAACGCACAAACTTCAACGCCCCTGTATGTCTCAACATGAAAGTCAAACAAAAACATGCACCCTTGACCTAGGACGGTTTAATTTTACGATCATATATATTCATTTCAGTTAAAATATCTTGAATTTTATGAGCCCAACATTGGAAAATACGGAAAATTGCTGGAAAACTTGGCATAGACTTAGACAAAACATACGTTTCAAGGTTGGACAAAAAGGTAACAACAACAAAAAGGCGAGGACACCACAACAGCTTAAAACCAATTACTGTGGGCCTTCTATAAAATGATAGTTATGCAGTATTAAATTGCAAACCTCTTATTTTTATAGTATTTTTCACCTATTAAACCATTGCTCTACGGTGAAACAAAATATTCCTTCTGAAGTTCATAATTGTACAATACAAAACGGTAACCCATGCAATATAATTGATAAAACAGATTTACATGATCAAGCTGCTCATGTCACATTCTGACAGCAAAAATGCGCGCTTAATTTGCATAAAGAACGCACTATATTGAAATACTTCTTGAAGTGCGTCAGCCTTGATTCTGCCGTACAATTGATATTCAGCATCAAGAAACATGCATAAATAAAAGACATCTTGAAAAACCATATTCATTTCATGCTTTTTTTTTTCTCTGCGTGAAACCGTCTGCACCGATATTGACGAACTCAAATTTCGCTACCACTTGAAAAAGTTCAAAAATATTTCTCCGTTTGTTGATTGATTTCTACAGACTATAACTTCACATTTGAGTAATTTCATAGAAAATAGATTGACGAGAAAATCCGGAACTCGATATAAACTATAAACTGCTGTTCAAATAAAGGGTACGAACGTTTACATACCATTATTGTGATTTGTCTGGCTGATCTAAGACTAAGGTGCGCGAATCCTTTCTTTTAAATATACCTTAGATCTAATCCTTTAGATACACAACGCATTGTATTTATCCCTTTACTGACATGCGCACAAAAACAGGAGACAATTATTTAAGACGATTTTCCAAATCCATGTTTATTTTCAATTACTAACATTCATCCTCAAAAATCACAGATACAGGCCCTATTACCAAAGGTAGTCGTCCTGGCATTTGAAACAATTAGTTATCAGTGCTTACCTTCATATTTTGTACCAGTTTTTCACTTCTAAAGTTCAACGTGTGTCTGCGCAAGCAGACGCAGTTCCAATCAGATGACCCAGTACTGGCTTCTCACGTCTTAAATAAGCGGAGACCAGTCGATCTCTCCACAGGATGTTCATTCTTCAAAAAGCGTTGACAGATGGATATTTCTTTGACGTACTTATCACTTTGCATTGCATAGGAAGTATTTATATCCCGGCATGAATTCGAAGGTTTGGCCCTCCTAGATCTAGGCAAGAGTCGAGACGAGCGCATGCGAAACTCGGCATTGACCAACCCAAAATGTCACCTAATAGCCTGGGAATTTCATTGTACAAACAACCACTAACTTTAGTAAGGGTTGTTCTGTTTATTGTAATTTAGTATAATTACATAGGTGATTATTGAAAATTCTCCACGCTGATTGGTTGCCGTTGAGGTGATTATTACGCGATAATCACCTAAGCGATTTTCAAAATGGCGGCCGAAGCCGTTTTGTCAATTAAATGACGAAAAAATGTGTATTTTTTTATTTCTTTCTAAATAATCACCTATGAAATTATACTAAAACAATTATTCACCTCAGGCTCGGTGATTATCGTGAATAAAAACCTCGACTTCGTCTCGGTTTTTATTCACCGATAATCACCTCGCCTTCGGCGAATAATTGTTAAATATTGGGCGAATCTTAAATAAATAAATTTTAAAAAATAAGGCGTGGCTGACCTTCCTTGAAGTTGGAAAGCTGACAAAATCACTGTATTTCTGCCAACTCGGCTATTCAAAGTAAATCTTTTTCAGTTATAATTGTTCAGTTGTTGTCTTGTTGAATAATATTCTTCGGAAAATTTTGAAAAACAAAGGGCAAATATGGAAAAAAACAATGGGCAAATATGTTCATGGGAGTATAATTATGTGGCTCAATACTGGTACATGGCTCACGTTGGAATGAAACTGATATACGGATCTATCCGCAGTGGTGATGAAATATAAAGTGAAGATGGCCTGATGATTTTGTCAGACTACAATAGTTGATGGTAATCTCATTCGTCGTGATTATATGTATCGTGTGACCATTTATTACCAATTACTTTCACAAATCATCTCGAATTTTCACAGTAGTGGAGAGTGTATGTAATTATTCCGAAGGCCTCCTCCAAATATATTTCCATCTTGAAACAAACATGCGAGAAGGCAAAAAAAAGTTATTTCGAAATAAGACAAATGCATTCACCAGTTCGTGGTCTATTTTATAAAGTGATCGTGTCGCTCGCAACTTGTGGTGCCCAAAATTTAATCGTACCATGCCAAAAAGCTGTCCGTGAACAGGGTACGCACTTTCGATCCGGAAATAAAAATTTCATTGTCTTATATTACTATTGTTTCCGGCTACTGGCGAAAGACGAATGGTCTGACATCATCGCCTCTGCGTCGTCATGTCTGATATACTGGGACCACTGGGTTACAGGCTACTCAATATTTGGGAAGTTTTTGTTAACTGTAGCGAGCTTTTAATAGTCCTTTTACCTTGCGGGATTCTGCATCATCTCTATCATCTGGTGGTGACGTCATGCACGATTTAAACATAAAATTATCAGTTCATTGTAGAGCCTCTGATATTAACATCTGTGCACAGTTTATCTGACGTCATTGTTCACAGATACAAAACCTGAACTTGTAAAATAATTCCAAATCGCTAGGATATTGCTATACAGAATAAAAGACTACGTACTATTTATGTCTAACCTGTGTAGATTGTATTACAGCCAGCATAATTTATATCAGATTCTTGATTTTTTTTATATATGGCAATCTTATATGACATTTCTCACCTGCATACAAACGCCCAAACCCTTGACGCAAGGGCTTGTACAGTTATTCAAGGGCTCACCGGCATTCCACCGACGACACTATCCTATTTTTTTCCGGTTTGTTGATTAATTTGTTGATCTGCGCGCCGAGGACGTCATTGCGTCTACTCCGCAATTTCTCATTCATTCAGTTTATTATTACATCTCACTCGTCAAAGCGTGTGCCAGCGCCCCAAAACTCTGTCATCAAAGATCAAATTGCACTTTGCTGTTTCACAAATGCCTAAAAATACTGGAACAATGGCCAACTGCCGTGCTGAAGGACATCACCACATGTGACTATCTCTTCGTAGAGTAGCCATCCTAATCTCGGGGCCGTTCTAAATTTAATGATGTCACGGCGGTAAATGATGATCAGAATCGCGGGCAGTTATCAGAGTGAGACCAATAATGTTAATTCTTTTAATTCTGTCTGTGATAGTCCAGTACAGAGACGAATAACTGCACAACAATTCGGAAATTGACCACCATGATTTTGTGGAAAAACCGCGAGATTTTAGATATTTTCCAGGTTTTCTTATTATAAAAAAATCACAACATTATTTAGCTCAAATTTTAAAAATCATGAATGTCCCTGCAGCTCTGCTACTGATAAAACATACTCCTCATATATACTGTGTTCAGATTGTGAAAGTCTTGGAACAAAATTCATTGTAATGATCATTTCATTGGACACTGAATGCGATGTTTCTTTAGCCTATAAATACACTTTAATTAAACAGATTTCCTTAAAAATTGTAAGAATTTAAAGACTTTGTCATAGACCGTGAGAAAGCATAAAAAACCCGCGAGTTGGCATCGCTTCATCCGGAACATGGATGTTTTTGGTCGATCAAGGTTAATTTGACTGGGTGAACTGGTTGTGGAAACTTTCCAACCTTACTTGTTCCTGCATGCTTGTGGATTTGTGTGATGATAAACTAATTGCTTTTTCATAACTTCAATAAGCCCGGAATTCCGGATTTGTTCTGGGCTTACGGATCGAATTAAGCGATATGATGCAGATCCCGTACTTACGGATGGAAGGGTGTTTTCACGAAGCCAATATTGCAATAGCCAATAACTTAAATCCACTAATGTTAATCCAAGAAGCGCGGTTTTATTGATATCATTTATGTCTTATGAAGCATTTACAAATCTTTTTCATTCAATTAAGCTAGATTATCCGCACAGCTATTCAATACACTATAGCAATATACAGTTATTCTTATAAACTAGTATGGTTATTGTAATATGTCATTATGTGTTAGTCTTAAAAATCCCGACTTTCCCATGCCATAGACACAGAACATAATTGGTGTCCCATAATAACCATATGACCGCGCCTTTTCCAACTCCAGGACAGTGAGGTCAGTATTAGATAATGTATGAGATACATATATTCACAGTGTATCAACCAAATCAAAAACAAGTCCATTTACTACGTTCATTACACCAAGTCGATCGATAATACACTTTTGTTTTCTCAATTCCCAGCTTCGAACAAGATCTTTATTCCCTGGAAATTAAGATAAAAGTACATGATCAGCATTTATTTCTAAAGAGTAAAGGTGAACTGTTGTATGATGGCAGTTTCAAATTGTTGTTAGGAATGTTCGGTATGAGAAATTTCCGGTATCGGTATACCGAAAAAAATATACCGATATTATCGGTATACCGGTTTTCCTTTGATAATTATAAAGGAAAATTCTTTAATGGAAGTTTGAGTCTAAAAGGGAAAACGATAATTTCGAAGCTGTTTCGAACGACATGCACGTACTCAGACTCAGTGTAAAATCTCACTGAAGTGGAAATTCTAAATCATTGCAGTAGAAAATTCTTTGAATTGCCATCCAGTAGTAAAATAAAGGTTATGGTTTCGCCATATAGTTGGTAAATATAACACGGTATACCAAAAAATTCCGGTATATCCAAAATGTCGGTATATCGGTATGTTTGAATATCTGGTACCGATATACCGATATTGATTTAATACCGATATTTTCGGTATATCGGTATACCGAACAGTCCTAATTGTTGTTTCATGATTTGTCAGCTATCAGTTGACACCCCTTTCTGTACCTTCTGCATGGCAATGATCCAGTTGAGTGACGCCTTCCTGCCGTCTTGTAGAGGTTCCAGAGCTCGAAGTTGTATCGTTTCTGGCGAGTTTTTACTCTCGTTCTTACATTTGAAGATCAGACCTGTGACTACAGGCAATGTTGAACCTACAAAGGCAATATTTTGCAGCATTATAAGAACAACAGCAGCAACAACAAGTACAACAGTCACAACATCAGCAGCAGCAGTGGCGGAAATCTTGGTGGGGCAGGGGGGCGGCCGTCCCCCACCTTCACGGAAAATTGACGAATTTTCGGAAATTTTGACCCCAAAAGAGGGCTAAAAACAGTCTTTTCGAGTGTAAATGGGGGGGGGGTACGTCGGAAATTTGAAAGTTTTGTCGGAAATTTAGGAAGCTTTGCCCCCCCCCCCCACTGGAAAAAGTGAATTTCCGCCACTGAGCAGCAGCAGCAGCAGCAACAACAACAACACTATGAACAGATGACACCAAACAACAATAGCAACAACAACAGTAACAGCAGCAACAGTAACCTGCAATCAGGCCTATAAATAAATAAATAGGCCTGATACAAACCTTAACAAAAGTCCATGTTTTTACAACCGTATTGCGGTTGTAAATCTGATTGGTTTATGAGACAAAAGATTTTTTAATCTGTCATCTGATTGGTTGGTGCTAATTAGATTATACTATTGTTGTTGATATATTTTAATATAGTGATCACAACTATAATTAGATTGCTGTTGTCGTTGTGTGAAATTTAAATTTCTCCTGCGACATTTTGATAGGATACTAAATATGAACTTTGCTGTGGGTGGAAAGCGATCAGATTAAGGATTGTGTCAGGCTATTATTTGTAAAATAGAGTCTGATCTCAGGTTACAGCAACAGCAACAACAACAGCAACAAGAACAACAACATCAGCAAGAACAACAGCAAGAACAACAACAACAGCAAGAACAACAACAACAAGAACAACACTATGACCAGATGACACCAAGCAGTAGCAACAACAACAGCCACAACAGCAGCAACAACAACAACAACAGCAGCAACAACAGTAACAACAACAACAACACTATGAACAGATGACACCAAACAACAGTAGCAACAATGACAACAAAAACGACAAAACATAACATTAACAACAGACAAAACCAAAAATAACACACCAACAAATTACCTTGGCTCTCAGGATTGTCAGATATAGTCTTCACAGTTATTAATTTGGTCAAATCAATGACATCATGGTTTTTGCCAACTAAGATTTCTCTGTGCAAATACAAACATTATTGACAATGACTATCCTCACATACATTGCAATGTAAATTTAATGTTTAACCAATTTGAATGCAACAGTAATTATTTTGCAGCATCAGACCTGTGATTTTTGTGATTGAGTTTACAATGTACTGTCTCTTCTGAAGATTCGCCAACATAAAAATCTGCCCCTGAAAGGGAATGTTGATTTAATTGCTTTACTGTAGGTAGGTTTCATTATAAAGCATTATAGCAGCAGATGGCAGCCAAATGCTAATTATAGCTTCATCTCAAGGGCCTTCACTCCAAAAAAGTCAAAATTATCCTTATATTTTTCACCTAGTTGCACCCTATCAGCTTGTTAAGGTTATAATAACTCTAACTTTTTTCAAAGCAAGGCAGATTATTACTTCAACAGGTCATTCCAGAAAAGATCCACCCTGCCCTAGGGAGGAAATTTCTGCCGTCTGGTGGAAATTTCTGCCGTCTGGAGGGGGAGAAAAATTTGTTTCTGATAATAGTAAGTGTATTAGGACATCCGAAGGGGGATAGGGTTAACATCCAATTTCCTTTGTGGGGGAGATATGGATGTTTTCTGGAATGACCCAATATGACAGTCATTCAGTACCATGAATCAAGACTTTTAATGATTTATCAAAAAATTCATTTTCTTTCTTTGCCACAACAGCACATTCTTCACACACTCGCACTGGATCAACAAAATTTAGTCTCGGTAGAAGAACTTTCTGATCGCAACACGTCCCGCAAAATACATTGCCACATCTTCTACAGTGATGCTAAAACATGGAAATAAAGGTTAAGCTTTCAGTTTGGATAAAAAGCAAATAGGTTTGGGTTAATTATTTTACTGTCTAACGCCAGACAATTTTACTCATCAAGGGGAGAGCGTTGGCCATGTGTCACCATGATTGATGTTCATCACTACCATGTGCAATCGCCGTCATGTGGTGAAGAGGCATGCCCATTCATTCCAGTGTCAATCCATGCCTGACTTGGCCAACCATATAGACTAGTTAATTAACAGACCCTTGCCTTGTTTACCTTTCTCTGGCAGGCAAATTCCAATGAAACAAAAGAACATGTTCTCAATTGTGTTTCTACAATGCACAATTATGAAGCTCTCTCGTGAGCTTTTTAAAGACATTTGCCTGCCAGTGAAATGTAAAAAAAGGAAAGGGGTCTATGCTAAATATCATAATCATTTGATTTGACCAAATTGCTTCTAATACAATATCAGGCCAAGAACAATCAGGCCTACTGAATCAACACATTCACACTCACTCTTCTTTTCCAGAAATCAAAAGAACCTTTACATTTCACGCACGAGGTATACTAAAAACAAGACATTTCAATAAAAAATTCTAGCAAAACACCACAGGCAACCATATGAACACTACGTTTATTGTCTAATACGTTTGAGTGTTTGACCAAAAATTCGCAAGCTAAAAACGAAAATACACAAACTTTTTCGTCCGGTTGCCACGGTGGTTCCTCTATCGTGAAAGGAGAGCGATCTTTATCGTCATTTGGGAGCATTCGCAGCCCGCTTTTGCCTTTTGTTAACGTTTTGCCAGACGCCATTTTCCCCCAAAATTTCTCATTAGCACAAGAAAATAAACAATGGTAATCGTCAATCGTCAGCAGTCGTCACACTCCCGCCATATTTCGACATTTCCCGCCAGCTTTCGGGAATTCCCGGTTGTGGTAATATTCTATGAATTTTAATTAGAACAACAAAGCTGTTAAATAGTTGCGACAAATTAAATTAATTTTATCCAGAAAAAAAACGTGCAGAAACTATCAGATTTTTTGCTCTGAAGTGGTCTCAATATGTTATATATACTTTTGGTTTTCTTAGTTCTTTCTGTGCTGGGAAATTTTGCACATGGAAACTCAGGTATTTATTTTTAAAAATTATTCATTATTTTCATATCAAGATGAAAACAGAGGCATTTTGTATTGAATCGTTAGTTGTTGTATTCATGATTCATCATAATTGAGGGTTCAGTTCAAGCGTGTATTTTAACAGTAATTTGCATTTACTGAATTGATGCCAAAGTCGAGTCATTTTATGCAGACAAAAATATGCCATCTGCAGCTCATTAATTTTTAAAACTTTAAATTTTAGAGCAAATTAACATGACTTTTAACTACCAAACTCACAAACGTCTGTGAGGTACTCAAACTCTGCAAATTAATTACTTTTAGATGAGTTGACATGGCATGAAATGACAACCAAGAGTCGTTCCCAACCAGGTGGCCGCTTTAATGCACAGACTTGGGTAGATGACCAGAAGCAATTGTGGTTGTATGGTGGCAAGAGAGTTATCAGAATAAATGGATCAGACGTCAACCACCATCTTCATGATCTGTGGAAGTTTAACCCGGGCTCATATCAGTGGTCCAAAATAGCCAATCAAAATTCATCGAAACAGCCTCAGTTTAACGGAGGTTCCTCATGCTTTTGCCGTGGCAAGGCTTTTGTATTTGACCATCAAAAGAAGTTCCCAGAATTATGGGTTTATAATATATCTTCAAATTTGTGGAATTTGATTCAAAGTCCAAGTAACATGAAGAATGCTCAGGATTGCTTTGCAATGTGGTGTAATCAGGATTCTGGCATTATATCCATGCTTTGCCATGAGAATACAGGGGTCATGAAATTATGGATTTTCAAAATAACATCAGGGATCTGGAGTTCACAAACCTTTTCAAACAAGTTCACAAATTCATCTGATAGAAATATTTCAAGTCAAATTTCTGTCTGGAACGACCCTGATGGTTTGGTGTATGTATACATGTGGTCGCACTCTAACCGAAATATCGGGAAGAACTCGGTACTTTTGTTAATCAGTCATGATGACATTGTGATCACTGAAGTAAACAATACAAAGCTGGAGTATATGTCGAATAGAAAAGGATTTATCAGATGGATTGATAGCCATGGTAATGATCTTCACTTGCTTGGAGGGAGAATCACTAACGTCACGACTAATAGCTCCGCTGCTCATTGGATGCTTAATTTGTCTGACTACACTTGGGTTACAGTAAATTCAAAGAACATTAAACCTAGCTCAAGAGCTGGAGCTTGTTTCTGGCAAGTTGATGGTAACCTGTGGTTATTTGGTGGATACAGAAAAGATGGTGAAGGACGCATGGTTGTTCTCAACGATTTCTGGATTGGTAATACCAGTAGGCCTGTAGTGGTACATCGACCAACACTTGTTAACCGTAATCTACCGGGCGATACGTTAGGGTTGTCTTTGGTCAATAAATTGATCATTTCTCTGGTGACTCTGTTCGTTGTCATGGTGGTGAGCATAAGGCTGTGCTATAAGCGAGAGTTGAATCAATTTATGTCGAGGTTGCAGAAAAATCGAGTGTTGTATCATGAACTAAGTCAGGAAGGTGACAAAAGTACCAGACTATAAACAAATATTTAACTTGGGTGTGTATTTTAAAAATTGTGAATTAGAAAAATAATTTGTACAAATAAGGATGTCTATTATAATATTGTTGTTATTAACTACAAAAATTATTTAAGTACAGAATAAACTTGCTATATATATCATGTATCATGTATGTACATAAATTGTATTGATATAGTAATTGATAAAACTAAATTATATTTATGATTATTGGAATGTATTTATTACAGTTGGGGTATGAGAACTATGCTTCTGATGCCTGCATTGATTTATTTATAAAACGTATTTGTTAAGTCTAAAATTAATTGTATAATAGGCACTTATGTAAGTATTGAGTTACAAATATTAGTTCCAATTGTTGTCCATCAATAAAATATACTGTGTGTAACAAAAAACCTTTAAATTAAATGTCTGTCCATATTTCTCGAATAAATAATAGTATTACATAAAAGTCACTTCATCAATTGAGACAGTGTTGAGTTCCTCTCGACGATTACACTTTAATTCGATGCATTTCAACGGTGTTCCCCACACAACATGAGTTTTGTCTTTCAAAGCATACAATTTGCACTGAAGTGACGTTTGAATCGTACTTCCATCTTCAAATTGTACATGGAGGGGAAGAAATGTTCGAACTTTTTTTGAGGTCTTTTGCACCATACCAGAAGACCATGTACCAGAGAAGCTTGTTTGAGAATCTGTTTTGGTTGATGTGCCATCAACATTTATGCCACTTAAACTTACATTGCTGTAAAAGTTATTAAAATATTAGGGGATATTAGCATTAAAGCATATACTATGTAAGAATTAAGCTTCAGATTGATTAGTTGTATCCCTATAAGCTCTCTTATTACAGCATATACCAGATCTGCCAATTATTAACAAGAATAAATTCTAAACTACATGTACATATACTGACTGGTAAACGTCATGTAAACATTGTACAAATATCTGAAATGGGTCATTTGCATTATATTATATAAAATGAATAGTTCTATAAGGCTATAAGCTCCAATTCCCATTTCCAATATTGACAAATGTTATACAGATTATATATGACAGCATATTAATTTGTGATGAAAAAATGGCAACAAGTTAAGCCAATAATACTAACCTTATTTCGACAGCCGGCCGGACCTCAATTGTGACTTTATAAACAGTATCCACATGAAGTTTTATTGTTTTGTTTTCTTTAAAGCGTTCTCCGTCGATCTTATAAAACAGTTGAGAGCCATCGCTCTTCTTCGAAATAGACAAAGAAACTTTGAATCCAGCAGACATTCTTTATATGTTTATTTTTTAAATTAAAATGTGTAAAAATATTTGTGACTCGTTGGTCATCGATGATCGCGCTCTGATCATTCTATTTTCTGCATTGTTTTCCGTAAATTTTTTATGTTATTTGCCATACAGTAGTATGCTCATTTGCCTACGGGTTTCCCCGAAAGCTCAGACAGCCAAAATAAAATCTTCAAACTGTTCAAACTAAGTTAAAAAAAAGATTAGGGTTAGATGGTATCAATTGGCTCTATGGCAGTGATATATAACGTTAGCTTTAAATTACAATAAACACTGGGTTTTACTATACTAAATCTATATCTTAAAAACATTTTGATTTTGTTTTATTTTGATTTTGTTTTTAGTTTTATTTTTATTTCACATGTATGATTTAGCATTCTGAGTGATGATTTTTAAGTTCTTGAATTGCTGAAATTTCTATTTGACACAAAATGGCGTTTGAACGAGGAGTGAAGGTATTTCTGTTTAAATTTTATTGCATTATTTAACCTATTTTAATGAAGTAACAACTTTTTTAAAAAAAGCTTTGAGTATTTATGCATTAGGAATTTATGCTGCTGCGATATTTCGTCATATAAATTTTAGCCCAGATAACGTATAGCAAATGTTGCACGTGTTGTACGGTCTTGTACCAGAGCTTATATTTTAATAGTGTGAATTAGAAAATATACGAAGTGAATTTTTTTATTATAAGCTGTAAAAGCAGTGAAGCAAACATGTAAAATGTAACATGTCAGTCAGATTCAAGCTTTCAAATAATTAAATGCAGTCTGTGTATTCAAGTTATTCAAATTGATAAAATTTTAAGCCTAAATATATGAATAATGTGTATTAAAGTTTATTATATAATAACTACAGTGAAACATGCAATTTGATTGGTCAATAGCCGTGCAGGATCAGTTAGGCTATCCTGCACGAGGAATTAAAATGCTCTCACAGGATTTTCATTGGATTCTCAAAATGTCATTGTTTCACTGTAGTTATTTTATAAAACAATTACCAATTGGTTTTCCAAGCAGGATAGCATGATCCATGCACTTGGGATGTTGCTTGACTTTCGGAAAGCGTAAAAATACACTCGCCTGCGGCTTGAGTATTTCTACGCTTTCCGAAAGTCTCGCGACATCCCTCGTGCATGGATCACGCAATCCTGCACGGAAAACCATTCGGTATCTTTAATAATGTATGAGTGTATTCTTTTTTGCAGATCAAAGAATCTCAGGCAGAGATACTGCAAAATCTGAACTCAAATGGAGAATTTTTACAAAAATCTACATCAACACTTCTGTTAGAAATGAAAGTTTTGAACAAGCTGATTTACAAGTCCAAAAATACTCATAGCAAGGAAAAATTCTTTAAGTGTTTAGAAAGGGTCAGTTCCAATTTGAGTACTGGGCTGTTTAGGAGCTGTTGACAAATAGAGTCTATCCCACAATTGCTTGTTCTACAATTGCTTTGACTCTACCCTATCCTGGATAAAGTCTATTTCTCAATGATGCCCTAAACATGTTTTATGGATGTATGTACATGTTTCTAAATAAATTTTATTTATCTTTGACTGTGATTTTGTTTCTATGCTCAGATAAAGAAATGTTTAAATAAATGGAAACTCTTGGATCTTGATAAGAAAGTTGTTGCAATGAGTAAACATGTTGGGTGGGTACACTTTTAATTTCTGGAAATATTGTATTCAGCCTTACACTGTGCATTCTTCAGTGATGTTGGAACCATGGGCAAATTTACTGGGGGGGGGGGGTTACCCCCCCCCCATAGAATCTGTAACCCCTCCTATAAAATGTTCAACCCCACCAAAATTTCGCTTCACTCCTCCTATTTTGTGTGAAAGTCTTTAACCCTAATGCCTAACCCCTGTCGAAGCTCACTCAATGGTGCTGCTTGCACCCCACTAGAAATATTTCCACCCCTCCTTTTAAAAAAATAAAAATCCGCCCTTGGTTGGAACTTAAAATTATTTCTTTCTAAGAATATCTATTTATTGTGTTATTTTAGTTTAACAGAAAATTTATATGAAATTCTAAATGAAATAAAGCTTGGAGGGCAGCTGGCTATCAGGGTGTGTTGAATATTGATATTAATCTAGCTGTGATATAGATGTGGCAGTTCAAAGGCAAAACAATCATAGAACATTATATGTTTACTCTATTTCTCTTTTGTATTGTTTTTTAATAGATTATTATCCTTTGTCAAGAAACAGTTCAGTATCTGCCTGTGAAGAATATTTTATTAATGCTAGTTTTATTGTGGAAAATATACTGCTCTTATTCTTGTGAAAATATATCATTTTCCTTGACCAACTAACCAGATATAGCATTGCCTATCTTTCACGAGGCTTCTTTGTTACTCTTCATGTCACTTTGTTGTCTCTTGTCAGCAGAATGTGGTGGGTAGTGAAAATTGTTGCTTTGATAGAAAATAGTTAGACAGCAATCTCCATCCTGTCATACCGTATTGTACGCTATGCGTACCTATTTTTATGGCCCGCATATGCTTTAGGGTGCTTGAGAAAGATTGTTGGACAAGCCTTGTGGAATGCTATCAACTAGTTAGATCACTTATTCAACTTACAGAAAATCATCTTGATGTGAGTATCACCAGCTCACCTTTTTCCTCTCTCAAGTCACAGAATAGAGACAAACAGAAGGTAGACTTGTTGGTTTTTCCTGTGATTTTGGCATAACCGTAATTCGTCATCAAAATGCTGACCCCATGGTCTTAGCCAGTGCGCTTATCAGAAGTCAATATGGCGGACGTCCAAGGGGTATACGAGATATCTAGGGTGAATGCTTCACATAAGCGCATTGGCTAGGACCTTGGCGTCAGCATTTTGATGACGAATAATGGCAGCGGTTACGCTTTTTTGGCTTAGTCAACCTTCTGTTTGTCTTTATTCTGTGCTCAAGTTGTACTCAAAATGAGTTATAATGTTGTGAGTAATTATGAACCCTGATCTGAATATTCATAACTCATCCATTCGTTCACATACATCAGAAGAAAATCGCTCCTAAAATTGCAGGAAAAATTGCAAAGAAAATCCAAAAAGTTGAAACACATCTAAGTTTTATGTCTGCATTTCCTTCAGTTGAATAAATTCCCAGAATCTTTGACATTATGGCTGAGTGAAGATGCGAAGGGGATATTTGATGGAAAGTAAGAGGAATACTATTTATTGCTAATGGAATGGCCGACATTGAGTGTTTTGACTTTAACAACGATTCTTCTTCCCATTTAGATGTGTAAACGATGCATTCTCAGTTGTGAGCTCAAGTAATCCGATATTCAACCAGCTTTTCAGTGAGAAAAATGGTAAGAGCATTATTAAAACTTGACCACCACATTTGAGATATCTTTTTCACGTAGTTCAAACACAAACCACGTGTAGAATACTACCTTAAATAAATGGTTTATTTCTATTTCCAACAGACAGTGACGCACCGAGCATGTTGAAAGATGAAGAGAATAACGATGAAATTGACCTGGGAGAACCAGTGGACGACATGCGGGAGTTTCATTCTGAAGACAAAACCCGTTACTCTACGCCAAAACGAACCAATGATAAGACGGTGAGTGATCTTAAAACAAACTTAACTTTAAAATTTGACTTGGCAAGCGCTGTCCGCAAAAATGTTCATGAAAACGACTTGGAACGTGATATCTGCAAACATTTTCGTGAGAACGAGAGCTCTAAAATACTTGAACAAAACGCAAATCTGGAGAAGTTGACAAAGACCGAGATGTCGAAGGATTCTAACAAAATAAAGATTGGGTGTAAATTAGACGAACTTGGAAAACGAAAAACTCCAATGCTAGATGAACTACGGAAATCTCATAACAAACTGTTCCTGACAAGACCAGGAAAAAGTCTACACCGTATAGAAAACACATTTTTTATCAAGAAAACACCGTGTCGATATACTCTACGTAGTTTACTTGCCACCGCAGATTTTGTAGACTGTTCCACGAAGAGACTACTTGCCCTTTTAAAATTTTTGAATTTTACTTTGCATTCACGAGAAGTGTTACCCAGCGAACGAAAAATGCTTTCAAGAATACAACGCTCATTCCAACGAGAGTTAAGAAAGCGGAGACAGCTTAAGAACAGACGAAAGGAAGGTGGGATTTCTTTGTCGAGGAAAACTGACAGGCGTAAAGAATCTGACGCATCTAGAACTTTTAGGAAGACTTGTGCGGAAGGAGATAAAAGCGAAGAAATGCGTTGTCAGAAGAAAGATGAGCAGAAATTTGGCGCTAGACGAAAAACAGACGCACATAGAGTTAGTTCGATCGATTTGAAATACAATACGTCTTCTAAAGAGACCCTGAAAGATGGGGGAAGCCAAATCAAGAAAATTAGGCGAGATGAAATTGATGATATATTTAGTAGTTTATGTCCGTAGTTGAATGGATTTCGCATTAAGATTCTCTAAAAAAAGCTGTCATCAAATTCGGCTATATTAAAGATTTATACATATTTTAAAGATATTGTGTGTACTCGATTAATCATGCAACTAAATGTGTGTCGTGTTGGACGAGACGTGCGTTGAAAAGGAACCTCTTTGTTCGGAACAAAAGAAGAACATGTAAAATGAAAGCGTGCATGAATTGTTAGGGAGAGTACTTGTATTAGGACTGAATAGCATGTATGTGTTCTAATACACGTGACGTTCTTTCCAGAAGCGTGTATTGACGTCACAAGTCTAGTTTGTCCATTGAAATGAATATAACTGGAATGCTACCTTCAGATAAACTGCCTATACAGATATACAGATATTTCACAGCACACTCCCTATCAGGGCTTTTCAGTGACTGGTTACATTATGAATAGATAGATAGAACCGGACTGACGTGAAGCAGGCCGAGGTAGACTTTGAGCTTACAAATCAGTGGCGCTTGAGCAGCTGCCGCTATTAGTCCATACCTCATTAATGATCTGCCTCCAGACCTACGTGCCTAACCCACCCTGTCAACTTTCCCATCTTTTTCTTCAAGCCAAATCGGTCAAACCCGCGTGTTTATTTAATGATTGACCTAATTTCAATGTGATTGACTGATTGAGCGCTCTTCGCATGCGTGGAAAGACTAGGACTGACTTTCAAGTTTGGCTTCAAATGTCCGGTTGGAGATAGCGTTCCAGTTACATTCATTTCAATGAGTTTGTCCGAATATTCCCACAATTCGTGCGGGCTTAACAATAGGATATAATTCATTTGCATTCATTTGAAAGTCCATTTCAGTTTTTCCGAAGACTGTGCTATAAATAACAACCTTAATCTACGCAATTTCGTGATGGAGTAAGTTCCGTCTCACAATCATGACGTGTTGCTGGTTATAGTACGTGTTTCTTTGACGTCTGCCAACGTGTTTGGGTTCCTGCAATATACAATTATGTCACAATAATTTTGCCTCAAACTAACTATATTTTGTCTAACTAAACAAGTTAACAAGTCTTTAGTCTTCCAGATGTTGTCGCTTTCAATGTGACGAAACGCCGTTAATCAATTTTCATATATGCATTTCAATGAATCGTGGGTTCGATTGTCATGCGGACTCATGTGAAAAGAGTCGGCCAACGCTCTGCCGAAAGTCGTGGGTTTTCTTCGGGTGCTCAGGTTTCCTCCCACGGGGAAAGTTGACAGGGTGGGTTAGGATAAACACAGTTAGGAAAGTAAAATCACAATGGACCATTTGCATTATAGACTAAATTTTGATCTAGACAAAAATTTCAGCACACCTTGAAAGAGCATCACAAAATTAGTAATATTCCAAATTTCGTTGGGAAATGTTGTAAAATGCGGATAATATAGCCCTACGAAATTTGCAATTTTCAGT